TCCTCTCTTTCTCTCCTTTTCATTTCCTGTTAGCAGTGTGTCTCTCCCTCTCGTCATAATTAGTCTCTGCCTAATGGCCCACATGCATGTGACAACTAGCCTCATTAACTATAGATTAACCTCTGTAGAAAATTAGGATTCATTTCCCCTGTGGTGTAGATTCTGTTACATTTATTATGCTGTATACATGTACATGTACATCTAAATTCTAAGAATTACAGATTGAGATTGCGTCGTGTTATTCTGTGTTGCTCAATCCTGAAAGCAATAAAGAGATTGAAAGGTTTTTTATCTATTAAGATATTCCATTATTAGTTTGTGGTGATTCTGTTCTGTTGATTTCATAGTGTCAATGGCTCATGATTTCATTGTCTAGCCCAAACTAATGACTAATGTTTGTAAAGTGGGTGAGTACAGTTGTGTAATAGTACATTCAACTATTGTTTTGTGTAAGCATGCTTTGATTTTTATTCTTATGTTCATAGACCCATTATACCTTACATATATGTACATGTGCATGTTCATTTTTTTTTCATGAATGTAAATACAGAAGTTTCAACAGTACTATGCACATATACTATTATTATTTTATTTTTAATTTTTTCATTATTAGTATCATATTTGGCTGCTATATCCATCCCTTGGGGCTATTAGTAGTATTCTCTGAATTTTTATTCGTCTAATGAGAATTGGCTTGGACTCGTTTCCCCAAACAATAGTCCACATTATCAGTATATTCTCAGTATACTATCAGTATACCATTCCTATTATTATAATCGTGACGTCTGTGACCTCATCGCTGTTGTATGACATTTGGCTGTCAATATACCCTAATGTAGAGTAACCTTTATATAAATGTACATATACATGTACATGTACATGTATGACGTAAATATGTGTGCCTAATTTGGCTGCTCCTTCTGTCTGTCTTTTTCTTTCTCTTCCTTAACTGTCTCTTTCTCTCTCTCTCTCTTAATTTCTGAGTATGCGTACAGTGTCTATTTATTCAAATATATATGTATACATGTACATGTGTCAATTGTCTGTGTATGACTGTCCCTGGCTGTGTACTTGCTGTTTATTTATTTATTCTCTTAGTCTCTCTATGCAAGTGTGTGACTAGCTCTGGCTCTCAATCATAATGTATCTCTTTGTTCTTGTTTTCTGTATATATCTTTAATCTAAAGCTATTCCTCAGCTTGCTCCATTGTTTGTCAACATGTGCTGTGCTCACATGCTCTCTCTAATGTGGTGCACGCATGCACATGTAGACATGCTTCCGAGCATTCGTTTATTGTTTTATCAAAATAATAGCAACTACAAGTAATGATAATGGATGCATGCAGTTCCTGTATCCAATGGATCTTTTATTTGTTATTAGTTACCTGAAGACATGCACAGGTTGTTTAAATAAAGTGTAATGCAATTAGCAGCTGGTGTTATGTATCCAACTGGCTATTAGTAAAGAGAGAGAGAGGAAGAGAGAGAAAGAGAGAGGAAGCTATTAGCTAATGACATTCAATACATGTATGATGTATGCTATGTATTTTATAGTAATGTGGTTTACATGTACATGTATTAATCATGTACACTATTGCAGCTTATGTAATTTACTGTTGTTTCAGTAGAATTTGTCCTCCAATATAACATTAAGCCTCTAATCACTCTTCTAAATGCATTACATCCTCCTGTTAGCAGCTGTGTACAATCAATCAGTGTAGCCTTTGTTCCACTCTCCCTCCATTTCTCCCCTCAATTACCAACTGATGTACTTCTGTTGATATCTATTTGTATGTATTTGCCTACCATATATGATCATCAATGCTAGGAGGTTTAACTATCTATAGCTATGCTGCTTGACCTCAGTCTGGTATCTGCACGTATATGTGTGTGTGTGTGTTCTGTTTCTTCATATTAATGCACTCCCTTTGGTGGTAAGGTCTTCTGATGTCTCTCCATTATTTGTAAACACTTAAACCTTTGATGATACTTGATGCCTTCATGTCACTGTACTGGCAATTATAGTTTAATGTTTTATCCGATGTAATGAGGGTATCATTTCTCACCTTTGCACATGTGTCTGGCTGTAGGAGGGTATCGCCTGACTTTAGGTGGTAAGGAAAAGAGGGAGGGTCAGGGAGAGAGAGAGGGGGGAAGAGAGAGAGTTTTAAGATTGCATTAGTATGTCTTTCTTATTCAATTATGTTTAAGGTATGATGTGTTTGTGTGTGTTTGTGTGTTTGCAGTGTTCATATGTTCATGGAGTGTGTCTAAGTGGAAGGGAATTCTCTGTTTTCTATCAATGATTGTGAGTTAATGTGACATGATGTCTTTATTTCTTCCTGTCCTCATGTTTGAAGTTATAGGTCAATCTGCTGGCCATATTTCTCTTTCAGTTTATGAATTTCATTTCCTCCAACATTCTCCCCCCCAACTCTCTCTCCTTATTTTAACTGTTTATTTTTTATCACTTCCTATCTACACACACACACACACCTTAAGCATGTACCCCTCCATTTTCACATTGCTTGCATTACTTTATTGAATTACATTAATATTGATACGTGACCAAGTCAGTCCTTAGGATATATTTGTTGTCGCTTTGACACTTCCTTTTACTTTCTTCAACTATTCATTATTATTATACATAAGACCTAAAATATGCATCAACTTTTTATATCATAAATTCCTCGCCACCCATCCAAGCGGAACTACATGTACATGTATAGCTAGAAGAATGAGAATTTATAAATTTATTTAATATTCTTGCATGTGATGCCACATACGTCATTGTAACATTTTTATCTCGATAATTTAAGAATTCCTTAATTACTATGTTGTTTTAACATTTCCTAACTTTATGTCAATTGACGTAAAACCGGACATACTGCTATCAAATAAGGACATCCCTCGCTGATGGCATTATTATTAGAATTATAATGATGTAACAGGATATGCGTGTATGTGTTCTTAGTAAACTTGGGTGTATAGTTTTCTTGTTCCAGTTGGCTTACAAAAATATTCCTGATAACTGCTCACTGCGGAGAGAGATTATTAAATCATGACAATATAGTAACATGTTAATCTAATTACCAGGATTAGTATTAATAGTAGTAAGAGTTATAGTAACTATATTAAGCATTTTCCCATTATAATAGATAATAACTACTGCATGTGATACAAAGACTGCTGTTACTACTGTGTGTACATGTACATGTATATTGCACTTTAGTTCAAATACATGTACACGTACTACTTATCATTATAGTGCAGTAATTGATCTAAAATTCCTAGAAATCCAATTTTAATCAGAATCAGCTCTAGCTTAATGCACGGCATAAGTGGGTGTATTTGTATCGGAAAATTAACGTAATAAAATGGCTGGTTTGAAACTATTCCATAAAATTGGCTCCACATACGCCCACAGTTTCTTTCAAGTATTAAACGTAATGCTTAATTGTTTGTTGCTATAATAACAAAATACATAATAATATCCTCTTATGTCACTAGCTTCTCATAATAATTATAACCGGCCCATTAAGAGAGAGTGGCAGTTATTTCATTTGTACTACACGTATGCTTGGCGTCCCTATAAAAATTACCTTGAAATCCTCTTGTTATCTCACTATAACCTTGATATCCACACCATAAAAAATGACTTGATGATGCATTCGTGTATGTAGATTCAGTTGACAATGGATGCTGGACTGTATTGAATTACTCATTCCTTTTCTGTTACATTCTAGAACCGTTTCATTGTTCTTATTGTACTCTGTACCTTACATGATATTTGAGTAGCTTCCAGAAGATTTGTGTAGCTAAATGCGTGTGTGTATTTTTCACGTGATAAATGACGTACATCGATCACACTGATCACGTTACTATAATTATGTATGTATGACGTGATATGTTGCAGATACTGATCTGATTCTGATCTGAGTTGATATTGACGTATGAGGACTGATATCTTTAGGTTAACATGTCTATGCACAATGTAACATGTCTAGTATATTGTGTTTAGGATATGACATGTTCTCTTAATTGGGAGACATAAAAGGGAAGGAGAGAATGAGTGTGTATTAATGAATGAATGCAAGAAAGAAAGAAAGGAGGAGTGATAGGTGAGTAGAAAGAGAGAGGGAGGGAGGGAGGGAGAGAGAGGGAGAGAGAGAGGGAGAGGGTTTCATGTTGATAATAAATAATCAACTGACCCACTGCTTGAGGAATGCACAAACATATTGACATTTATTGACACACTGCACAGTCGCTTGTCTGACTGAAGCCATTGCCCTCCTTTTTGGAAGCCATTTTCTACTGTATTGCTTGAACTCTTGGCTGTAAGTTTGCACATACATGTACTTATACGTATAACACTTAAATGTAATATTTTATGCATGCATGAAATGTGTTTCTAGTGGCAGGGTGTTGTGTATGATTATCATCATTATTATTTACATGTACATGTATGAGTTTTATTTCTAATTCTTCAAATATGTATCTCCTTTCATTTCTAAGCATTCTGTATTCCAATCTTTCTCATATTTTGTGATTAGTATAAGTTATATCATCTCTAGGTGTGTCGCCGCTTGTTCCTTTATTTCTATGGCAACCGCATATCGCTGTGTGTTAGTTTCAAATGCTTTATTTCTTCCTTGATGTGGTTAACGTTTGTGTTATCTGTTTATTATCTGTTTTATGACTTTTTTATGATGAATTGATGTATTAATTTTCTGTGAAGTCCATGATTTGTTTCTCATCCTTTTCTCTCTTCTCTCTCTCTCCTCCTTTTCTTTATACTTTTATCTTCTCCTCTTTCTTTCTCTCCCCCTCTCCCTCTCCCTCTCCCTCTCTTTATAATTATTTAAATTTATAAATTAAAGTCTCTCACCTCTTTCTCCCACAACCTATTACTCCCTCTTGTCATCAACCAAATTGTGACAACAACCAGCTAGCATTGCATACACAGAGCCAACAGAGCATGAACCCAGTACAGATTAGCATTAATATGTTATTATCATTCTTGACTTATTTAAAGTTGTTTTTAATTATCGCGACACGAATATTTCCTTAATCGGTTTTTCATTTAAAATCAGTCATGCTCCTTTCCATGCTGTCCTGAAAAGTAGCTCGTGCTCTCGATCAGTTTGAGTGGGTATACACCATTTGAACATGTGTATATAATCACAATGTACATTTCTAATTGGCATAATATTGTTATACGTAACACTACTCTAATTACTGATACATATTGATAGTTACACTGTGGCGCTAGTATGGGCATAGATAATTATAGAAACATGTGTATTCATTTTTCTCTCCCCCTCCCCCCTCCTCTCTCTTCTGCCATCAAATCAACAAGCTATGCTGTTCTTTCGTCTCTTGTCAAGTCTAATTGCAATATTTGTCATAATTTTAATAAAATCACCTGACGACATGTTGCGCATGGCTGTGTTTTCTGCACGCACGATTCCAGCGACTAACTAGTTTTGACGTGTGACTATGTTAAATGTTTTTTCTCTTTTAAGTTTCCCTCTCTCTTTGTCTCTCTCTCTCTCTCTCTCTAGTCTGTCAGAGGACTGTATGGTGACGCTACATTAGAGATGGATGCAAGTGTTGGTCTTATCATGAACAAGTTGAAAGAGCTTAACTTGACCAATAATACACTAGTGGTATTTACTAGGTGAGGGTTTATAGTGTATAGCACTGGGTATTTTGTCAAAAATGACAAGGAGAGAATTCTTCATTTTAATAATTTTTTCTGATACATATACATGTTTTTATGTTGTATATCAAATTTGAGCTGATTCTAATCAATTTTAGACTTTTTATAAATTTTTAAAGTTGCTCCAAAATTGGGCCAAAGTCCCTGTACTATAGTACAGGGTCATCAGCCAAATTTTGTCAAAAATGACTAAGAGAGAATTCTTCATTTTTATAATTTATTCTAATGCCTATACATGTTCTTATGTTGTATATCAAGTTTGAGCTGATTCTGATCAAGATTCGATTTTTTACGAATTTTTAAAGTTGCTACAAAATATGACCTAAGTCCTGTACTATAGTAGTACTAGGTATTTTAATGAGAAATGTCTAAGAGAGAATTTTCCTGTTTTATTACATTTTCTGCTACATATACACATTGCTCTCTCTCATGCTCCTACATATGTACCACTACAAACGGTACATGTACACCTAGCTCTTATATGTCTTCACTATAGCTTAATTACTTCCTTATATGGTAATCTCATCCATCGCTCATCCTTCCATTTTATAATAACCTTATCCTGTGTAGAATACGATTACTAGATTGAATCCTATTAGTGCCTCGATAGTACATCTATTCGTGACTGCACCTTCCTTTGCCATATTTGTCATAAAGATAAGAAGTATTGTCCCTAATTATGTGTATATACATGTACAAGCTTGTCGCTCCATATATGCATGTGATTATTATGGCATATTCATGTATGTTTATCCAAGTTTCATAAATGGCTAATAGTTTTATGGATGAGTAAGTATGTGGTATATGTATTATGCGTAGGGAGAGCAGGAGAGAGAGAGAGAGAGAGGGTAAAGGGTATAGGGTATTGGTATTGGTATGAATGAAAGAGACAGGGTCTACCAGTAGGGGGAGTTAGGGTGTCTTCCCAATGTGATGATTTATGCAATTCTCTATGATACTACATCATTTAGATAAACTCTAGACTGGCTTTGATGTTAATTGTAATCATATTGTTTTAGTTCACTAGCATAATAATAAAAGTACTTTTAGGTTGGATATTACTTGTATACATATATCTTATATGTAACTCATTCCTATTACATGCATGCTGTGTATAATTCAAGTTATTGAGCTAATGAGCCTTAAATTGGATGGAGGAGGGAGTTGTATAAGCTGCTAATTCAAACAAATTAAGTGTTTCAATGTAAGAAGTGCTCTCTATACATTGTTGTTGTTCATTCCACTTGTCAATTTTACCGTTGAGAAATGTAAATATTAGTGCATGCCAGCTTTTGCTTTGATAGAGTCTCACTATTACTATCATGGAAAGAATTTAATAACACTCATTTAGCAATTAGTGGGACCTTTCGAATCAATTTTCTTAACACACACACACAAACGTTACATGGACATGTATACTCCTGGAATGACTGTCACCATGCATGTACGTGCAACTTTTTTGTTGCATAATAGTAAACAGATACACACATTCCCTGCTGTCCCTCCCTCCCTCCCTTATGATAAATATTTTTTTGAATTATAAATTTCAGCTGCCTAATTGATACATATGCCATATATCATATATGATAGTATTCACAGTGATCTCTTTATTCATGTTACTATGGCAGTGTTATTGACAACAAGATAATGGCATGTGTATGAATATTATTGATAGTAGTAGCTATAGCAAATGATTATATTCTGTACTATATATACTCACTCTATCTCTGTTTATCACTGTGTGTGGCTGACTGCTACTATAGCCGATTATTTAATGTTCTGTGTATGATTGACATCTTTTCTACATGTACTACTACATCCTATACTAGTACTTGTGGTATATCAGGTTAATATCTCTCACGGTCTTTCTTCTTTGGTAATATAAAATTTGTTCTGTTTCCCGGCACTCTAGACAAGCATGCATGCATTATGTGTCCTAAAATTCATTATTTTAATGAAATTTTTTATCATTATCTCATCCTTTCTCTCTGTGTTATTTCACTTCACCTAATTAAAGGTGTGTTGACCTTTTCGTCTCTGTTTCACTTGAAACATACCAAGTGACATACAATAGATATATATGATACTTATAGTTACATGTGATTACATATACATGTACATGTAGACACATGCATGTACATGTACTTAGTGTTCACACACACACACACACACACACACACACACACACACACACACACACACACACACACACACACACACACACACACACACACACACACACACACAAACACACACACACACACACAAACACACACACACACACACAAACACACATGCAATAGTGTTTATGTTTGTTGCACAATGTGTTCATTTATTTTACTTCCCCTGGTATGTCCATTGTGATTCACTTCATTCCAAGGCTACACCTAAATCCTGTGACAAACAGTGATATTGCATATCTTCCTATTCTAATATTTATAGGGACACTACTCTACTTACTATGCTATATCCTAATCAATGGATGCTTTCAATAGACATTCTTTCATCAAAGCCTCAACTCTTTGTTATTGTAATACAGTCAATTGATGTTATCATTGAAGAAATGATTGTAGTTTTATTGGTCTGTTTACCACTGTCTAGCTCTCGAACGTCTCCCGTCCTTCTTTATTAATAATTTATTTTGAACTTGCTTTGTTGTTCCTTAAAATAAAATTAAAATTGCTAAACTGTCGCCTTGTAAAAGCTTTATACCTAATTACTGGTAATCACTGCTTCGTATAATTCAAATCAGTGTGTTTACATTGTGAAGTTTCATTGGAATAGAAATAAGATTGAGTACACAACGCATGTACATGTACATGCACGCATTAAATTGATACATTCATGTACCCTTTTAGCTACAGGCTAAAGATTGCCTCTGGTAATAGCTGTACACAATGTGTCGGCAAAGCAGGTGCTGCATACCTGTATTAACATGAGATAGTTGAAGTCATGACTCCTCTTACTTATTCTCTTGTACTACTGGTACATTGTGTGCTGATATCTCTGAGTGTATGGAGTAGAGAGACGTGTCTTTATTTGTTTGTGGAATGCGACAATAAGCTAGTGAATACCATAGTGTTTATCTCCCCCTCAAGACTTTATATTGCACATAGCCACATCACATATTGACAATTTGTACAATTACATATAACAATTTGTATATACCTTTTAGTCCATATGCATGTGTATTAGATAGTGCACCATATATTCTTGAGTAGAAATCTTTCTCAATTAAAAGGCTGGCGATATGCAGTGTATACTTAGACTATTAAGTAGAGGAGATATCTCTCTAATAGGAGCCTGTGTACAAATTAAAGATAGGAAACTGAAGACTAGGCTTCCTCTCTCCCATAGACCATACCATGGGGATCAGACTGTTGCTACACAGTTTTTAGACACTGTCTATTACACAGGGTGTTGTTGTGTATATAAGTGTGGTCCTATGGTGTTTTTTAGGCTCACATAGACACCACATAGCACTACTTAAGCTTCACACCCTCTATACGTCAGACCTAGTGTACATATACACACTATCAGACACCACCATGCATTTGTACAGACTATTACACATTACTGGTCACAGTTAGTACTATTACACATTACTGGTCACAGTTAGTACTATTACACATTACTGGTCACAGTTAGTACTATTACACATTACTGGTCACAGTTAGTACTATTACACATTACTGGTCACAGTTAGTACTATTACACATTACTGGTCACAGTTAGTACTATTACACATTACTGGTCACAGTTAGTACTATTACACATTACTGGTCACAGTTAGTACTATTACACATTACTGGTCACAGTTAGTACTATTACACATTACTGGTCACAGTTAGTACTATTACACATTACTGGTCACAGTTAGTACTATTACACATTACTGGTCACAGTTAGTACTATTACACATTACTGGTCACAGTTAGTACTATTACACTACTGGGTAGACTGACACCACATTCGTATATACAGAGGCTATAATAATGACACTATATACATGCAGTAACATGTACATTCATTTATACAGAGACTATTACATATAAATGAGAGTATATACTTGTACATGTATCCTGTGGTAATAGCATTATTATAGCTTAGTGTTTATTGTAATGACTGATCTCTGATGCTATTTTGAACTATCTGTTAGTCTTGCCCTTATGATAATTTTACTATAGATCAGAAGGGGGGAGAGAGGGGGAGTCTTGCCACTTAGACCACAAGGAATTTGACTAGATACTCTCTCACTGTCTTGATTTTGAGTCGATAACTAATAATCCTTTTTTTATCAATTATGTACAAGCGTACATGTTTGTTCTTGAAGTATCCTTGTCTGTCTATAGTAAGTTAGAATCGAGTATTTCTACGTTAATTATTATACTTAAACATGTTTTATACACGTACTGCTTGGTATACTCCTTAATTGTGTCTTGTATACATGCATATGCATCTTCTTTCATCTATTTCATTTATCATATTAGCCCTCCACTCAATTGTATTAGATTATAACATTACATGCCATTTATCTATTCTCTATATATAAGCTTGTGCCTGTATTGGCATTGGCCCTTTGAAGATTAAGGCAATAACAGAAGCCAGTTTGATACATACACAATAATATTACATAAGCTCTGTTATTGTAATATCTATACTGTACTATGTGTATATAGTGATGTTATGATTTATTATGTAATGGAGCTGATGGCTTAATGTGTCTGTTTTGATTGAGCAATGATTCAGGAATAGTTTTACTTGATACTGTGGATCCTTTTGCTGCCAAGTCTTTGCTCAACAAATATGCCTTTGTTTGTTGTTGGGCCTTTCATTATATCTAGCAGCTGCTATTTTCAGGAGCCATAATTGCTCCCAGTTTATCTCTGTGTGAATTCCCCACAACAGCTGCACCTTTTCATACCAAAATACAATAACTATTCCCCAGCCCATTACCCAGTCTTCACACATACACACTATAACTAATTCTCTCTATAACCTAGCTAGCATCTGTCAAATTATATACATGCCACATGCTCAACATGTGCTTTTAATAGCTAGAGCATACTCTATCTAGACATGCGCTCTCTATAGAGTATAACCTTTATATAAGCATGTTTTCCATCACTTGCTGAATAACAACTTAGTTTACTATTGTAGTAATTTGTATTATAGTGCTTAGTAGCCTATAGTACAATACGAGTTGTTATGATGTTCTATAGTAATAATAGTTTGCTAATGCATTCTCATTTATTCACATTAGTCCATATACACAGGACATAATAGGATTCCATTTTATTTATGGCGATGCGTTGATGACGTTAGGTTTACTTTTGTACTTTTATTTTGTCTGTGTATCTAGACAGCTAAGACACCTGTACACAACTGTATGTATGTTACCTAGCTCTCCCTCTTAGTTATTTTTAGATAAAGGTTTGTTATTTGTGCTCCTATCACGAGAGAAGACAGTAACAATGATATAATGTTTGTGGATTTGATTCTAATTTGCTTTTGTCATAATGA